GGTTCAGGGTGTGAAAGGGGGCTCAGGACTTGGGCAGGGGGTCGTAGGGGGTGAGGGGGTCAGGGCTCTGGGCTGGGGGTGCAGGCTCTGGAGTGGGGCCAGGGATGAGGGGGTGGGGTGCAGGAAGGGGGCTCCGGGTTTGGGGGAGCTCAGGGCTGGGGCAGGGCATTGGGGCCCGGGCTTACCTCCAGCGGCTCCTGGTCAGAGGCGCAGCTGGGGTGCAGGGGAAGGCTTCCCGCCTATCCCGGCACCGCGGACCGCACTGCGCCCCGAAAGCAGCCAGCAGGTCTGGCTCCTAGGCGGAGGTGCGCAAGCAGCTCCGCGCAGCTCTTGCCTGCAGGCACCACCCCCACACTCCCACTGGCCGGATCCTGGCCAACGGGAGTGCGGAGCCGGTGCTCGGGCAGCGTGCGAAGCCCCGTGGCCCCCCGCCTACGAGTTGAACCTGCTGCTGGCCGCTTCCGGGACACAGCGCAGTGTCAGAACAGGTAGGGACTACTAGTTTTTACTGGCCAGCCACCAGGGTTCCTGGGTGCTGAGCAAGGTGACCCAGTGCCTTGGATTTCACGACTCAGTACTGGGTCATGACCTGAACTTTGAAAACCACTGATGTAGATAAATTGCCTCAGTGTCTGTTCTCCTTGGCTCATAACACAAGAGCAAGGGGTCGTTCACAGAAATCAAAACATGGCAAATTCAAAACCGATAAAAGGAAATACTTTTTTCACATAACGCATAATTAGACTGTAACATTGCCAAAGAAAGTCAGACCAAAAATTTAGCAAGATTCAAAAAGGGATTTTAAATTTATATGGATAAGACGACCAGAGTTATCATGATTGATGATGATTTGGGGAGGGATATTAAGCCTCGTCCTTCAGGGTTTAAGTCAGTCTCCATATATTAGAGATCAGGATAAGACCAAACGTGGCAGGCAAAATATCCCAAATGTGCCCACTGTTGGGTTCCTGCATCTTCTTCTGATACATCTAGTACTGGCCACTGTTGGAGACAGGATGCTGAACTAAATGGACCTGAACCAAAATAGCAATTTCGACATTCCCACTTGCGTGCTGGCTATTTGTCATTAAAGCAGTCCCAATTTGTAACGAAGGCAGCAACTGGTTAAAAAAAGTACTAGAGCAACACCAAAACAACTTTAAATACACTCATACTTTGCATTTATAAAGTACCTTTCATCCAAGGACCTCAAAGCACTATGCTAACATTTAAGTGAACCTTAAAACCCATGTGAGGTAGGCAGGAATTGTTTACATTTCACAGATGGGAAAATGATGCAGAGAGGGCTAAATGACTTGCTCAACAACACAAATACAGTCTGTGGCAGAATAGACTCCCAACAGAATATAATTTAGATCTCCCAAGTCAACCTGTGCGTTTATTTCTTGATTTTACGTTCAGCAGTTGGTACATTTGAAGTCATATCTTCACTAACTGCATGTTAACTGGTTGCTACAGAATAACCAACCTTCATTTCCACCATCAACCGTAAAGTAATGCAGAAATCAAGCAATTATTCATGTGAACAAAGCAAAATAGTGTTAGATGAAAACAACACTAATGACACAGCATCAACAATAGCAAGATGAAGTACATATCAGTTTTATAACCTTAGATAAGCTATATGTATAAATATTCCGAGCTCCCATGTTTCTTACCTTTCATAACAGACATTTAGCTTTTGTTGCAATGAAAGACTGATTCTGATAGGGCAAGTAGTATTTGGGAAAGAAAGGTGGGTTTAAAAAAAAAAAAAAGTTGTCATTTAAATCCTTGACATTTACAGATGCCATTTACAAACTCATTTGTGATATGTTCAAGGGCCAAATAGGTTGACAATGTTTCTAGTTGTGGGTAGAACATTATTGTACAGAAAACCAGGATTTATTAGCTATGTTCTCAAAAAAGTTGTAAGAACAAAAAGTATAACATTTCTGCATCAGCATAATAGCCTGATACCTGTACTTCATATGATCGTACTTTACCTTTGACCTAGTGGCTCATAACTAAGGCTACGATGTAATCACAGGTATTTTTAGTAAAAGTCATGAACAGGTCACAGGCAAGAAACAAAAAATCACAGCCCATGACCTGTCCATGACTTATACCATAAATACCCCTGACTGAATTTTAGGGGGGGTGCTGCCGCCACAAGACACCCCAGGGGGGCCCGCCATGGGGGGGGGGGAAGAGGGCCCAGCAGCTGCTCCAGCTGCCGCTGTGGGGGGGGGGGTCTCAGGGAGGCCAGTGGCCGCTCTGGCCATTGCTAGGACCGCTGCTGAGGCAGTCCCCAAGGCCAGCTGCATCGGCCGTTGCTTGGGCTGTCCCCGGTGCCAGCTGCCCGGAGCTGCCAGAGTAGTGGCCGGCGCCGGAGCCACTCCAGCAGCGGGGCCCTGAACAGCTGGCTCTAGGGCCAGCTGCTTGGGCAACCCTGGGGTCAGCCACACGGGCCACTGCTGGAGTCACAGAGGTCACAGGAAATCACGGAATCCGTGACTTCCGCAACCTCCATGACAAACACAGAGCCCTAGTCATAACAGTAAAGCCTTACACTCAAGATAAGAAATATGTCAATAGTAATTTTGATCAATCCCCTGACATTAATGACAAATTAAAACTGAAGAACTGGAATTAATTTGCAAACTGGACACCATTAAATTAGGCTTGAATAAAGACTGAGTGGATGGGTCATTACACAAAGTAAAAACTATTTCCCCATGCTAATTTTCCCCCTACTGTTACTCACATCTTCTTGTCAACTGTTTGAAGTGGGCCATCCTGATTATCACTACAAAAGTTTTTTTTCTCCTGCTGCTAATAGCCCACCTTAATTGATTAGTCTCGTTAGAACTAGTATGGCAACACCCATTTTTTCAAGTTCTCTGTGTATATATATCTTCCTACTGTATTTTCCACTGCATGCATCCGATGAAGTGGGTTTTAGCCCATGAAAGCTTATGCCCAAATAAATTTGTTAGTCTCTAAGGTGCCACAAGTACTCCTCATTCTTTTTTTTTAAATTAAAAATTGGATATCCTACACACATGCTTTTTCCTTGATTGTTGGTGCCTAACGTATAAATGACTGAAAGAATTCTCCCTCTGCTACACCTTCACCCTCATTAAACCAAAAACCCCCTACATTTATGCTTACTTTGCTTTGACATAACAACCGTGCCTTGACCTGGACTGTTCTTTCCTTGGTGCAGGGTTCCTGCTAGATGTCCAGGTTGTACATTTCATGTGATAAAGTTGCCAGATAGAAACATGCTCCTCAAATAGACCACGACAAGATACCCTGAATGATAGCCAGGAAGTCATCACAGTGGTTAGTAGTAGCTATATTTCCATTGCAGTTGTGTCGGACCTAATGTGGCAGCAGCAGGGCACCTAAGGGGCATATTAGTTATTATTATTTGTATTATCAAAGTGCTTAGGTGTCTCAGTCCTGGACAAAGACTCCATTGTGCTAGGCACTGTACAAATGGAGCAAAAGGATTGTAAGCTCCTTGGGGCAGGACTATCTGAGGTCTGGTCTACGCTTAAAAGTTAGGTCGACATAACTATAGTGCTCAGGGGTGTGATAAATTCTGTCACTCACAGATGTGGAGTTCCTACAGTGATGGAAAAACCCCTTCCATTGCTCTAGGAAGCACATACAGGAACAATGCTACAGGAACATAGCTATGGCACTGTAGCACCCGTAACCTAGATATGGCCTAAGTAAAATAGTTCCCTGCCTTCAAAGTGAGGCACCGTCAGCCTTTGCACACAGTATGCAACACTGGGAAGGAAATGATCAACTAAAGTACCATAGCAAGCTGCTTTACTGAGCAGGCTCTGAATGTGATAGAAAAATAAATAAGATTTAGGACAGCAATTGTTACCAACAAGGGAAACAAGAAGAATTACACCCACACAAAGTCCCTCTGAGATTAATGAAGGATGTATCAGAACTGCTATGATCCTTCCACCAAAACACTGATCCTGTCTAGAAACAATATGGTCTGGTGAATAAAGGTAAGGGTTGAGAAACAGGAACTCCCAAATTCTAGTCTCAGCTCTGCCACTGACCTGATAAGGAACTTCAAGCCAGTCGCTGGCCATACCAGAATTAAAGCAGTTTCTGAAGTGCCATTGCACACAGTTCCCTCTTGTTTACATTTGCAACTAAACTGCATTGTTGACACCTGCTGTCAGCACCACACAATATTTCCCTTGTATAGACAAGCCTTCAACTGCTTGGTGCCTCAGTTTCCCCCACTGTAAGGCAACTGTAACAGCCCACCTCACCTGGGCCTTGTGAAGGTTAGTGTTTGTACAATGTTAAACTTTATCCAGATTGCCATGCAGCCGCGAAGCATCATAACTATACTGTGCTACAGGCAATCCTCCTCTAACCCACAGACTGACATTCCATTTCCATGGGGGAGGAGAAACAAAGAACAGTCTCCAGAAGCAATAAACTATCGATATCCCCATTGGTATAGCAAAGACATGAAAGCCCCATTACTCCGAGGAGCAGAACTACAGCCAAGATTCAACACCCATTATTCTATCCTCTGACACACGAAGTTCTCCTCGGCGCCCATACAGCCTTTCTTCCCCTATACAATCCTCCCTCTCCCTTCCCACCGGCTTCCCTTATAGTACGATCCTCCCTCTCTCCTCCTCACCAGCTCCCCTCCCATAGAGCCCTTTCCCTACAGTTCTCCCTCTCCCACATAACCGCTTCCCCTACAATAGATCCTCCCTCTCCCCTCACCAGCCCCGCTCCCACAATACGATCCTCCCTTTCCCCTCCACCCCAGCTCCTTCCCCTCGCAACTCCCCTGGGGCCCCGCTCTCCCTCGACATAACCCTCCACCCGTTCCCACAGAACCCAGCTCTGCCCGCCGCCCGCAGCCCGGGCTCCCCGCGGCTCAGCCCCAGGCCCGGCGCCCGGCTCCCAACTGCAGGGCCCGGCGCGGCCGCACTTACTTTCTGTATCCGCTTCAGCGCCATGGAGGGCGATACTGCGGGCGGGGACGCGCTCCGGCTCGGGGGTCTGGGAGGTGGCGGCGGGCGGCTAGTCCCCAGCTGGGCGCGTGCGGTCGCTCCGGGCGGAGGCCGGGCTCAGGGCGTGAGGGACCGGGACCGGGGCCGGATCCTCTCCGCTCTCACTCGCTGGCTCTTTTGTTTCCGCTTTTACTTATAGACAGAGCACCGCGCCAGCTGCATTCTGGGAAATGTAGTCCGGAGGCGGGAGGGCGACGCAGCGCCCCCTACCGTCCTACTGCGGCGCCTGCAGGCCCACGCAGCCGGCAGCACGAGGGCGGAGATGGCAATTGCTGCCAACTGCAGCCCAAGGGCCCTGTACCCTGGGATTAAAGCAAGGAGCAAGGCTACAGTTACATCTGCTCCATGGTCATTTCTCTGCTACAGAGATGTGAAAGGATGGAACGTGCACACAACCTTAACCCTGATCCTATCCCCACCAACCAAACACCTGGGGCACTCAGGTTGAAGTTTGGCCTTGTCTTCTTCACTATGGAACTTTACTCAAAAATTCCAAATGGGTCTCTCAGATGTTCCTGTGGGAATATTTCATAAATGTCCCCTGTGTAGACATAACTAAAGAAGGCTATAGCAATGCAAAGACCAAGCTGCACTGATTTTAACACTGCCACAATATGCAACCAGCCTATCAAAGTAGCAATGCAAGGTCACTTCTACGCTGTCAAAAACATTAATATGATTAAGATGTTTGCTGTTTGAGGATTATTATTTATATTCTAGTAGCACCCATACACATATGAATATATTATTTAAAAAAAAAATCTAGTAATTAGCCTTTGGAACAATTTACCACAGATTGTGGTGGATTCTATGTCACTGACCATTTTAAAATCAAGATTGGATGTTTTTCAAAGAGATATGCTCCAATAATTACTTTAGGCCTGTGTTATACAACTAGATGATCATAATGGTCTCTTCTGGTCTTGAAATCGATGAAAAACACACAGAGACATGCATTTCACAAAGAAATCTTTTCTCCCATCTTTTGACAGTTATTGGAGTTAAATAACTAAATATTAACAAAAACAAAGAGTATTTAATAGTCTAGTTAAACATCTCTTAGCTGGCCACACTCCTGGTTCCTGTGAGTGTAAGGTAATAATGCTACTTATTCTCCAATTGTCAATAGATTCTCCCAGGAAAAACATAGTAGGCTAGATCTGAAATTCTAATGTAAACAAACAAAAAATAATACTTCAAATTTTAGCAGGTCTTTATGCATAATAAAGAAATAAAATTGGTCTCAGACAATGTTATTTTCCTTTGTCACCTTTAAACCTTGGCCAAGCTACACAAATTTAAACTAGTTTTGTAAACAAGTCAGTTTAGTACACAGTTCAAAGCATAAATCAGCCTGGAAAGTAGTTATACTGTTTTTACACCAATGTTAGACCATCTGCACTGTCCTTGAGAAAGTCAGGTCTCATATGATTTGCAAAATTCCTGACACTGTTTACACTCATCTTTGATCTTCCTAAAAGGTTAAAAACATAAACATTGAAAGATTGCTCATCCAGATATACACTTAATTTAATAGAATATTCCAAATTTATACACCTGTGGTTATTTTAATTGCATGTCTGATTATAAGATTCATGAAAATTAGTATATAATTATTGGCATCATTTGTCAAGCACATTTCTCACAAGAAATTTCCCCTGTTATTAGGGACAACGTTTTATTTTTCCACTATAATTTTATTTGTAAGCCTGCTCCATTCATATTAGACCCTATATTCATGTATTGGGCCTAAGCCTGTGACATCTTGTGAGAGTCCACCTTAGAAGGCTCTATACCCACATCATTTGCAACAGAAAAATAGGAATTTGTTTTTCTACATTGCGTTGGTCGTCCAATAAGTTGGCAAAGCAATATCTGCTCTCCATCACCAATGACAACCCAAGACCTAGACAGCTACCCACTGGTCTCACTTGCCTTGCACATACATTGGTTTATACACAAACCTCATGAGATTATGTCTTTGGCAGGAGGAGCCTGGAGCAATAGTCATAATCTAGTTCTGTATTCTGCTGAGGGTACGCACAAGCATATCCATATAAAGTACTGGAAACCAAGAGAATCCAATTGGCATCTTCCGTATCAGGACAAAGAACCAGCAGTGGAACAGTTTTTGGTTGTATGCAGTCAAGTTATTCTGTAATGCTTGCAGCCTCAGACAAAGGCAGCAATTGCTTGCTTTATTCCCCATTGTTCTTGGGTGAGATTGATCAGATCTAGTACAAGTGGGGCAAAAGTCTGCCTTTTTTTGATTGAATTTCAGACTCTCTTGGTCTTGCACACAAGGATCTGAAAGGTGCTTAATGAACTCAGAGCTACCCACTCTGGAACATCTCATGTGACTCTAGTAAAAGAATCACATAAGAGGCACTTGCTTATTAGAATGACCTTCTTAGAATTCCGAGACAAAAAACAACAATGACAAAAGAATTGAGATGGAGTTATGGTTGCATCAGTCTGGTAGGTATCAGTAATTTAAGACAATAAAAATTACACAGTTGTTTGTAATTATTTCAGAACCAAGCATTATAAGCCTAGGAAATTCAGATTTAAGGTTACATTTAAAAGAAATCTAAATAGATTAAAACAAAATCTTAATTCTGCCCTGTAGTGGTGTCATACACTAATCATAGGAATATGATTAAGGGATTTTAATGTTTGTGGTTCAAGATTAGTGTATGCTGATTTTTAGAGACATTAGATTTTTATTGTGTTTTCTTTCCTCTTGTGATATTACTACAAGACAGAGTTAAGATTGTTTGGATGCCTAACTGCATATCTTACCTTATCCTAATTGGATTTCTTTTAAGTGTAACCTTAACTCTCAATTTCCTGAGTTTACAATGCTTGGCTTTGGGATTATGACAAGTATCTCTAGTGTTTGTTACCCTTAAATGAGATATGCATTCTCAAACTTAACTCCACACTTAACACTAAAGAAATTCTCAAACAAAAAAACACAATTTTTTTTTAAAGAAACAAACATTTCATACTTGAATACTAAACAATACCCCCAAAGCAAATGCTACCATGCAATATTTCTAATGATTGGATTATATGTAGTATCATTCTTAATTTATTTTAACTTTTAAGGGAAGATTCAGCAGAACACCAAAACATCAAATAGCCAGAGTACATCAGCCAGATAGTGGATCTACAGCTGCTTTGCAACAACACAAAGCAGTTAAAGCATATGCAAGATCAGCACTACATAAAGGTCAAAGGCAGGGAGAATCCCATCTCTGAGTCCCAATGTCTGGGTGATTTAAGGACTCTCCTGCTCCTGCCTCAACTACCCCAGCAGAGCAGCCTTAAAAGCACTGTGGAGCCCAGGCTTGCACACAACCCAGGGGCACAACCAGAATTTTTCTAAGGAGGGAGTTCATAGCTGTTCCTCTCCTGCCCTGTATCCAGCTCCAAGCTCTCTCCCCCTGCACCCAGACCCCCACTTCCCCACACCCAGCTTTATATTAATCTCCTCTTGCTGCCCCACACCCAGGCCCGTGCTCTTTCCCCACATTGCTCCAAACTCAGCTTTGAGCTCTTCCCCTTGTGATCTCCCAGAGAGGCCATCAGGCTGAAGAACAACATCCCTAGCAGCGGCCAGGCAGTTCTGGGAGTCACAGACCCCATCCTCCTCCTCCTGTGTTTCCACTTCCCCAGGAAGCACCAAAAGTCCAGATCCAATCCTCCCCCATTTCTGAGGATTGGGGGTTCCTGGAGCCCCCTGCTTCACTTCTCCCCAGGGGCTGGGGTTAACCAATTCCCATGGGTGCTGAAAGGCCTGCAGAAGTTTTTTGGGAGGCAAGCAAGTGCACAGGATCATACCACCTCTCAAATTTGGGCTAGCCACCCCCTCTCATGATGGAGGGGCAGTCAGGCCAAATGTGAGTGAGAAGCATTACAACCTGACACACAGGGTCACTGAGCTGCTCAGATTTGGCCTGGCCACCCCTCCATCATGTATTCTCTGGTCAGGGCCCACAGGCCCCCACCGCACCCCTAATATAAATGATAGAAACTTTGAAGAACAATAACAAATGTCCAGTCTCCCTCATGATGTGTTGCCAACTCTTGCAATTTTAGTATGAAGTATCCTGACATTTGGTGTTTTTTGTGATGCCCCAGCTCATGGACACAAGTGATTACATGAGAATCTCAACTTACTTTACAAAAGTACCATAAGTTCCTAGGCTTCAGGATTGCAGAGAAAAGCTTGAAGTGTGACCCACATATTCTGAATTCCTAAAAAACAGAAGGCAAAGAAAAAAACTCAAGTTTTATTAATTAAAATCTCATGGTTTTTAAAACAATCTCATAACATTTTAGCACCTGAAGTTGGCAATTCTGCTGTGCCACTGCGCGATTACAATCAATAGCTGCAGTTTAGTTGTAAAGGAAGTGGTGATTGGTTGAGTTACCTGTGATATCACCATGAACCCCCCCTTAAATTACCTGCGATACCAACAGCCTATATTACCAGAACAATTAGATACAATTGTTAATAACTTGCTTAATTACAACCAAATTTCACCAAATATAGCCAATACAAATTATTTCAGTTAATTTTACCTGAATGGAAAGTTTAAAATGTCTGCATTATTTTGTTAGTAAGATCATTCAGAAAAAAGAATAGGCTGAGATGCTATATTTATTTAAAGACCTAGTTACTAGTTAGTTTGAACCATCAGATTTACTTGTAAATTCTCAGAAGATTCATTCTCTATTCATGGAGCAAGTGCTGCCAGTTTGGGGAAAGATATGTTGCATTTTCCATATAACACAAAACAGAACTCAACTTTAATGATGGAATTGCAGTCAACACCTCTATAATAAGGAACATAGAATTGCATTGCACGTCAAGTCCCAGGGCAAAACTGTTCTATCAGACTCTTCAGAAGAGACTCCAGAGGCAACCTAGCATGACTGTTTTAACATAATCATAGTCTTGAATGACCAAAACATCCAGGCTACATCAAATAGCTTGTCTTCCCCGTCAATAGATGTGTTATTTGTGGGCCTACATCTCATAAGCCCCTTTGTCAGTAGTACACCATTCAAATATAGCAAGGTGAGCTCCCAGGAGCCCCTGGCC